TCGCTCGTCTCGAAGTCATCTTCCATGCCGCCTCAACTCGTCCCGATCTTCCTGGCCCGGCCCATCCAGACCAATAACGCGTCCTCCGTCTGACCTTCGAGGCTGACCTTTCGCTCCTCGAGCACGGCCAAATCACCAATAGCTTTCATGACCCAGTTCTGACAACCCATAATCTTGGTCATGTCGAATCCTTCCATCTGTAGCCACGTCTCATAGGGGAGGAATGGGACGTTGCCAGTCGAAGCGCAAGCCAGTAGGTCCATCCATAAAAGTACGGGCGCGTGGAAGGATAGCGCAGCATCGATGCCCCGCCGTTCCTTAGCCGAGCTTGACACAAACGACTCTATCCGGCCAGAGGCATGGAATACCAGCCGAGAGAGGTTCATCGTCTTCATAATGGCTGTTGTTGCTTGCAAGTGCGGCTGCCAGTCGCCCTTACCGCCTCGAAAGACCTGCATCGAAGCTGAGCTGACAATACGGTCGTGTTCTTCGGCGAGCCTGACTTACCTCAAAGCTGATCAGCGCCGATCCGCAAGCGATCACCTCGATGAAGTCCTCGTCATCCTTAAAGATGGCGTAACCCTGAGGCTGTCCAATGAAATCCTGCAGGCCTCTGAGGGCGCTGGTATGATACTCTAGTAGCACATCGCTGTGCCTCAAATCTTCGTTGACAGCACAAATCAGTGAGTGCTTATGCAACGCAGCGAGGCTCAACGCAGCCTTGTACAAAGGCCCGTTCTTGTTCAATAACCAAAACAGCCAGCCCCGACCCCATTTTCGATTTGAGTAATGAGTGTACTGCATGGGGAAAATGCGATCGAGGTAGTACATGAGCAGCTCGGACTCCTCATAAGATGGCGCAAAGTGTTTCCTGGTGCTGTCCTCCGACTCTGGTACTGGGCCAAGGAACGCGGCTAGATCATCTGAGAAAGGGAAGTCAACGAAGAGAGGATCATCTGGTAACAGAAAATAAGGGGTGATGACACCAGCCTCCTTCTGTAATGTGGTGTCCTCCTTGCCAGTTTCTGCTTGGGACAACGACCCGTCTGCGGTGGCGGACCTTCCGTTGGCCGTCTCCAGACTACGAGTCTGCGCAGCTCTGACCTGTTGCCGTCTCAGCTGCTTGAAGTTTTTTTTTTACGGCTGCCTTGATGCGTTGCGTTTCCTCTTTTTGCTTGACGCCGCCATCCATCCATGATGGCGCTGGCCATACCCATGACAACGACATGCCTGGTATTGCATTCCTCACAGATTGGCGACGCTGCGTCGCATTTGACGTGTCGCAGGCGACACGTCCAACAGCCCGATCTCAATCGGGAGCGCATTGGGGATGCGCGGATTGGACATGCTGGCAGGGAACACAAAGTCGGATGAACAGATGTCGATGCCAGATCAGGGGAGGAATTTACTATGAAATCGTAGCTCCCAGCCCCGCATTCTTATACGGCTCGAGTGAACTAATTCCACAGTAATCTCTTAGCGCACTCGCTACTTGAGCCTGTAAATTGCCCATCCATCGTCTCACACCTCGCAAGCCGGTGTCGATTCAGGTTCCATCCATTCACACCATAGTTGATCAACCGCATGACTGCCGTCGAGTGCCCATTCAAAGCCTTGGCCACGATGACGATCATGAATTGATCTCGCGGAAGCCGTCCTTCTGACGGATACTTCTCATGGGGCTGGCGCTTTTTGAGGCGGCCCTGCCATGTCCACCGGTTACCTGTCAATCAGACTGCTGCTTAAGGCTCACCATTGGAGACCACCTTGATACTTTCGACTTCAAAGGATGGCTCACTCGATGAACATGTCCCCTCGAGATGAATGAGTCGCACCTCGATGTCTCCGATCGCCTCGACGTTGACACTGACGACGTTAACTGTGAGATTAGCAGCTTGAGCATGACTTGGCGGATGTTCCGATCGTAATGAGCTCGCCAGAGAATCTGATGACAACGATGGAGTCAGTGGAGGGCTTCTTCAATGTCGCGTTGCCGTTTCGAACGCATATGCATATCTCAGAAGGTCAACGTCGGTGTAAGCCCTGCCAGCAAAGGTCAGCCCGACGGGCATTTGCTTGTCTGCCATGATGCCCATGGGTACGGTTATGGCCGGAACACACATGTGCTTCAGTGCTCGCGTGCCATTGGAATACTTGACGCCGTCACGCAGCGCGTGCTGCATGGACGAGAGCACCTCCTCGGCATCGGCGCGGGGGACGTCTTCATTGGTTGGGAAAACAATTGCATCACAGCCGTGCTCATCGAGCCAAGAATCGAGATCTCGCTTACGTGCAGCTTCAAGGGACCGGCGGGCCTCAGCACACCCCGGAAGGTCATGAATCGATTCTGGGCGATGGCGGATGTATGCAATCATGTCGGCGTATCGGACATGGTTTTGAGCCTCGGTGTGTTTGCGAAGGTCGTCTAAGGGCGCGTAGAAGGACCGAATCTTTTTGTGGTCGACAGTAGCTAATGTCTTGCAGTTCGGTGCATCGTTTGTGCGGAGGAAGTTATCCCAACCAAGAGCGATCATCTGGCATCGTTCGATATCAATCCAGCCCTCCGGCATGCCGGGAACATGGGCAGCCTGACCGGGAAAGTGCTGCTTGGTATAATTCTCCACCAGGGGGAAATTCGTTTCAACGGTGCTCGCGCCGAGTGTTTCCAGGTCTTTTTTAGCCTGGAGCCACAGAGCCCGGATAGAGTCGGCGAATGCAGGAGCATCCCCAGCTGATGTAGTTCCTTTGCCGATATACTACCTGGGGACGGCTAGTCGCTTTCCTTTCAATGCTGTGGGGTCCATGGGGCTGAAGAAGCTCTTAGGGCGGATTTCGGATGATTTGGGTATCTGAATCGTCTCCTGTGTCCTCCAGAAGTCCCCATCCGACATGGCCTCGTCTGTCATGATGACGTCCAAGACAGCCAACATATCCTCAACGGTTTTAGTGTGTGGTGTCAAAACATCACACGTAGGGAACAAAGGCCACACACCCCTGCAAGGGACAGCCCCTCAGGAAGCAGAGTACCCGACGATGCCGTTGATCGACGCCGGCGCGCGTCCTGAGGAAACGGTCTCGCTACCGAGCCCAGTGGGCGCAAAGCCTGCCGCTGTAGCGACACCTGAACCCAAGGAGAACCCCGAAGCGTATGATGTGCACATATATTCCTGGTTATAGGGACTCTCGGTGCGCCCGAAGTACCCCCGTTGACTCCCGCCGTCAGCCATGGGGGGCATATTCGTGCGGCCAAGGAGGATTGCGCCCGCCATGCGGAGCGATGCTACGATAGCGGCATCGGAGGTGGCGATAAGGTCTGAAAAATGCTGGAGAGGCCGCAGCGACGGCAATCCCTTCGGTACAATAGCTGTCCTTAACTGTGAACGGTATACCCTCGAGGGGGCGGGGCGATATCCCTGATGCGCGGTATTCGTCCGAAGCTTGAGCTTCGGCTAGTACATCTGGATTAAGGACACAGATGGAGTTCAGATGAGGGCCATGAAAGTCGAAACGACCGATACGGTGGAGGAACAAGGTAGTGAGCTCGACAGACGTGGTGGTCCTGGAAGCGAGGGCCCCAAGAAGTTGTGCAATGGAAGCATCGGCGATGTTGATGTTGCTGACATTCATGATTGGTATATATGGTATAAAGAGCCGAGAGTATTTATTATTGCTTCAACTTCCACTATGAGTGAATGTTCCCCAGACATCGCTTTATACTCAAATCATTAGATATATGTTGTCTCATGAACGTGTAAGTCGCGAACATGGAATTCGGGAGGAAGGTCGTAGCGAGTCAGTCCAGGGTCTTGAACGGAAGGTCGACACGAACTATGGTGACGAACCTCACGAGGTGCCATTCAGCCCTCGCGAAAGTCACGCGCCACTAACAGGAGGTCTTCATAGATTTCACGCATCTTCATAGAGCTCTATTGACGTGCCTCATGTTGCCGCCTTATCAACCACGTCGGCCTAGCAATCGAATCAGACATCTCAATTCCCGTCGTGCCCTGTCTACCATTCAACCTATGCTGGTGTATACAGGTAGTGCATAGCACTGCATGGCAGTCGGAACTGGGTACGAAAGATTCAAGCTCCAGCTCGAAAATCAGGCGAGATCCCAAGGATGCTATTGTATAAAGGACTACAGTCAAGATGTCAGTTCTGGGCTGACCCTTGAGGGCGTGATGGAGAACTGATCGTTGGATGTCATGCCGATCGGTTTGCTAACTTTCCACGGCACATGGCAGCGAATATACAAGCGAAAACTCAACATCAAGTACATACGCTTTCTCAATGAAGCCCACGATTGCATCGCCATTCTGGCAGCCATTTGTATAAAATAAATTGGGCTAGTATGATCATTCCTGAGACTTGGTGGAAAAACTTCACTTCTACATTCTCAGACTTGAATCGCCTAGTGATCTAGGACGACGAAAGACGCCACCCAGCATCCGCAACATTAAATAATTGGCACTCACAAATAAATCCTCCTGGACCTGAATCACTGTCGACAGACTCCTTTGTGAAAGGGAGTGGTTGGTCAATGCGCACCGACCTTCAGTACCTGAGCTGCCCTCGACTTGTAAGATCGACCACCTCCCCCAGAAATAGCGAGCATACTTTAAATACTCCCACCAACCAAACCTCATGTCAAAATCAGAGTCGCCTCAGGGGCAATTACTCGCAATAGAGACTCGCACGTCCCCTGGTATGTACCGTCGATCCTAAACGTCGCAGGGCAGGTTTAGCCTGTTTGAAACCTGTAAAGACCTCCTGTTGCGTGTCTGGGTGTCAAGGGTTGGTGCTTGGCCATCTCGAGCCGAGCCTGCCCACCCACCCATTTGGGGATGGGATGATGGCCTCTCGAATTGAGACGAGTAATCGCGATTTGTCATGCATCTGCATTATTCATTCTAGAATGATATTGGTGCTGGAACAGCCCGTCATGACATTATCATAGTCAAGATGCGTATAGGGACCGGAAGAATGAAGCACAGACATCTGTCCGGTCATATGGTGGATACCCATCTGCAGACAAGAGCAGACTGGGCGATGTATACTGAATGGCTATGAACACACCCTTCGTATCCGAAGCTCGCACAAGCCAACATGAGCAACAATCCCACTAGAAAACGCCCTCGATTTGCCCTCCGATGCTGGACCATCCTTCCCATTCGTGCTCATGCGTCTGTTGACCGAGAACATCATTCCTTTAGAAAATCAAGTAACGCCACGGCAATGCGAGAGATTTCAAAAAAGAAAAGAAAAAAAGAAAAGAGCCACGGACGAATCTTCCAGTGAAAATTACTGACTCTAGATGCAGAACTTCCTGTCCAACATCTGTAG